TTTTTTTGGGGGGGGGGCTCCTTATGAAAGTTATAGTAAAAAATCCTCCAAGTGCAGCCTTGTAATTTTTTTGGGTGGCATTGACTTTTCCAAAAGGGTCTAGGATCCCGGTAGGACAATTTCAGAACTACTTGCAAGACTATTCTCACCTCTCAATAAAAGCCCAAACTCCCAATAGCTAGTCACTTCTTTGTGTGTGCCAGCAAGCTGCGCTCACTCGCGGGATCATTCAGTGGGCGCACTCATGGAAACAAGAAAAAAGGGCAGGCCACCCCGCCAGGCACAGAAACTGTCTTTTGCAGGGTCACAGCAACCCCCCCAACAACCGACAGCGGTGGCAGAGAACTCTGTCGGTTGCTAAGGGTGCCCAAACACCCTGTGCAACCGACGGAAACTACACAATCACCCAGACAAAAATGAGAGCGCCTCGGAGGCCATCGACGTTGGCAGGAGCCCCACTGCCACCTCCCGCCGTGGCTGCAGGAAAGCAGCATGGAACAGCCCCAGAAGCTGCGTTCTCATGAAAACAAAGTGTAGTCCATGTACACACGTACAGACCGCCTGATCCAAAGTCTGGTAGGAGCCATTCCTGAAAACAAGAAAGAAGAGTGAACTTTTGGTTGGCGGGTCACCCAAGAACCCAGAACCCTATTCTAATGACTAAGGCCCCTGCAGCACCCTGTGCTTCTAGGGACCTTATTTTTGGTGCCTTAATGGGTCCCGGGCCCCAAGTATAAGGTCCTTGGCAGCATTGGGATAAACCTTAATCAGTAATACTGAGATGCAGTCTTTTGCCGTCGATTTTGCAAGATACCTACGTAAACCCTGAAGTCAAAACTGCTTTCAAACCCGGACCTTCTGGCGAACAAGCCAGAAAACTACCCCAAGCTTGAACCCTAAACGGCCCTAAACCATCGTCAGATAAGTACGCACAGGTATGAAACTCCGATCTCAAGCCAAAGACACCTTGAAATAGACTAGCTTCGCTGCTCAACTGGGCCTAGGCATCGCAGTCGAGCTGCCCCCCAGCGAGTATGGTGCCGTGGCCAAGTAGTGGTATAGGGCTTGAGGGGTTTGCGGTTTAAGGCTCAGGGTCAGTATGTTGAGTTTGGAGTAGATAGGGTCCTTAGGCACGTTTTGCAACTCGAGGTTCCGAACAGCACACGTCGAAACAGCATGCACCCTCAATAACCGCGGAAAGCCTTCAAACCAGACACTAAACCCTAAGCCCTGAATCCGAATGCCCGATCCTTAAGCCCTCAACCCTCCGCCCAAGCCAACAGTTCGGAGAGCTGAGCCGATGTTCAGCCCTGAATCAGTCCAGCCCAAAACCTTGCTCAGCCCAATGCGCTAAACAAACCCCAAAAGCTCTAAACCGAAACCTGCTTGAACCCTAATCCCTAAGCGCAGAACCCGGAACCCTAAACTTTGAACCCTAAGCCCAAGCCCTAAACCCAAACCCCAAGCCTAAAGTCCCAAATCAAGATCTTTCATCCCTAGAGGCCTCCATGCGGCTTGCATGGAGACTTGCGAGGGGCGCCGGCAACGCATCGCGAAGGTGCTGGGAGCAGTGACGCTTGGCCTTTTCTGGGTTTAAGTCGAAGCGGGGGTAGGGGGTTGGTGCTTAAATTGTTTGGGGGGTGTGTAAGCAGGATCGTGAGAGGTCGTGCTGTGGGAAACGCCTTTTTTTATGTAGGGTTCTAAGTCAAAGGAATGAAGATTCATGCCCAAAGGGTCCAACGTACCTATATAGTAGAATGTAGG